AGTGCTGCTAACTTCCTTCATCACACAGTAGTTGACCAAAAATAAAATTTTATATATATATATATACATATATATATATATATAAAAGACCCTGGGCAAAATCTGAGCTATGTGTGTTGCTGATGAACAGCACAGGGAGCTGGAGTTGACTGAGGATGGATTTTTTTCTAGTAGAGCTAGAGGTAAATGGCCCAGCTTTCTTAGATTTCCTCCCTGGAACCAAGCCAGGATATTATGGGGAGAGGGAAGGTTGTTATGTGCATGGAATGAACAAGAAAAATCTCCTGTCTCAGGCTGAGACATGCTGGCTGGAGCTGAAAATCCCAAATTCAATCCTTTCACTCCCAGCCTTCTGTCTGCAGACAGCAGCTGCCAGGCTGTTACCCTCAGTGTCCCTTTCTTGGTGTTGCTGTTCCACACTCTGTACATTTACAGATGGATCACATGAACATTGGTGAGGACTGCTCTGCCTTTGGCCCATGGGATGACCTGCTACAGTTGGTTGATGTTTCACCAACCACTAGCCATGTTCTCTATTTAAAAATATACTCAAAGTCTGCTCCTCCAAATTCCCTGAAAACTCTGTGAACTATTAAGGAAAGCAAAAATATTAAATGTGGAAGGTCATTACTCTGACCCTGCTGTTCTAAAATTATTGGCTAATGAATAAAGTAAATTTTAGTGAATTTTTAGTGCATAGTTACAGTTAAAATATTGTCCTTCTTTCCTCCCTTTGCAATAAATTTACTCAGATCCACTTTGCATTAGTAGATGTACGCACATGCAGCTTTAGAATTCTGATGTTATAATTAGATCTGTGTATTTGGTCAGGCAAGCTCAAGGTTGTCTACTAATTTCTTCATAGTCTGGATCTATGTTCTATGCCTAGAACCATTTAACACCCTGTTGAATTCTGCAAAATCCTAGTAACCTTCCTCAGTCAGCATCACATGCATTCTTTTTTTCCCCTTTTTTAAATTCTCACCATCACATGTGGGAGGTTTCCTCTTTACCAGAACAAGAAAAGAATATTTTTCAAAAGTAAGAATAGAAAATGAATATGTAAAATTTTCCTTAAGCTTCATAAAGAATCATCTCCTGAAACTGAAAAAATTGTGAGTCCATATCACCCAGACTACCTTCTTCTAAGAGGTGTGGGGGAAAGAAAGAAAAAGAATACCTGCTTCTGAACTGGGTAGCCTGGGAAGCAGAATTGTCAGCCATAGTAAAACTATTCCAGCTCAGAATCTCTGAAGGACACCTCTAGTATCTTTGCAAGATCTTAACTGACCTACCAGTGCATATGAAACAAAAATGTATTTCATTTCGGTGGTAAAATCCATTCTATCTACAGTCCTATGTTTTCAAACCATGTTTAAATCACTGGGTTTCACCTATTGTAGTGGGAGTATGTAAAGTCCTGGAAGACTTCCACACAGATGGCCTTAATCCCATGGGGAGATAGCAGATTATTGCCAGGGTTATTGGCATTCATGGAGTGCTCAGTCTGGCAGGCAAATGATGACATCAATCTTGGTGAAAAAGGGATCATGCATTATTCTACATGCAATCAAGTGCTAAATTTAAACACTGGTGGGACAATAAATTTTTTTGCAAGAAGGGCCATTAATAGGCAAGGGCCTGAACCATCAAACCTTTACTTACATGAACAGCCTCTGCTCACAGAGGTTATCTCATTAGGCAACTGCCTTACTGAAAAAAGGGCATTGTAATACAGGGATTGAGGAATTAGTATCTGCAAGAACAACTTTTCTAATTATAGACTAAAATATTCATGTATGAAAGTCCATTTGTGGGATTTAGAAGTATGTATGCTGTCTGCTTCTGAACAATGGGAATCAAGAGAAAACTGGGAGTTTTCAAGATTCTAATGAGTACAAACCTTGTTGTAAAACTCAAAATCTATCCTCTTAATATCATGTCCTCTATCACATGGTGGCCAATCCTGTTTGAGCCAGAAACTTAATCCCCATAAATGTCATACCGTTTATATGGTATGCTTGAATTCACTATAACTAATGAGCAATTTATTCTTGAAAGAGGGTACTCTTGAAGATATTGTGCCCTTTATTTTCATGGCAGACAAAGTAAGTTTTTCATGACTGCATCGTCTATATTTTTTATTTATATATTTAAATATAATTATAATAGTTAATCAGAGCAAAGGACTAATGTACAATAACAACACAGATTTTTCCCCCCTGATTTCTGAAACTTTCTGTATTCTGCTCATGGGTATTCCATTTGGTTGGCTCACAGCCAATGTGAACCAGAATACCAAGGTATGTGTTATTCCCCAATGCTTCTCTTCTGACTCTCTTGTTAAAAACTGTAAAATTAGTTGCCAGAAAGAGAAAGAACAATCTCTGCTTTTCATTCATTTTATCTAAAGCAGAAATATTGCAAAATTTTACATGAACACACAGAGAAGGGGCTGGGACAGTAGGGAAGGTGTTAAACATTTGCTGAGGTCTATACTACTGTCCCCTTCCCGAATCCATTTTTCACTCTCTACAGTTTAGGAAAAACCTTGGAATAATTATGATACTAATACACAAAACATATTTTCACTATTTTCTAATCCTAGGAGCAAGGTATAATGTGAATAATTGAAGGCAACGGACAACAGGTAAAATGAATACACAAAGGATTTTTAATTTATTTAAGGTAATTTACCTTGCAGTAGCTTTGTGTTGCCTCTCCCACCGTGTAAATGCTGAAGACACAGTCATATATTCTAGTGCAATAAATAAGTAGTCCTAGCTATTCACTTTTGCAATAAACACATCTCAAGTTAGTAAATTCTTGGTTTTGAACTTTATCCAATCCCTAATTTGGTTATTTCTGCCATAAACAGGGCTAACATTCTAAGGTATCTTCATACATTTATTATATCTCCTAATACTGTTTTCTAAGCAAAAGGCCATTCTTATACTGTTGTTTGGGTTTTTAAAACTGAATTATTTCTAATCATCTAGTAACTTCTAATCAGCAGTCTCAGATGAACTACTGCACCTTAACAAACTTGCACATGCTTTTGGGATTAAATGCTATCCTTTTCCCACTTTCAGTTTAGGCTAAAGAATTCAGTGGAGCCTGGTCAGGGAGCACAGCACTACTGCTCTATACTTTGGTTGCTTCTGTGTGGGATCAAAGCGTTCTCCAGTGGCACAGGCCATGATGAGTGGTCCCATGTCCCTCATCCTGTTTTGCAGTCCCCCATTCGGCTGCAGCTTTGCAAAGAATAGTGGGAAGAAAGAGGGAATAGTCTGAGGATTGATGTGCTGTTTCAGCCTGTGGTGGTTGTTTTCTCCTCTAAGGCAGCGAGTACAGAGCACTGATCAATGCAGACCTCAGATGTGCACATTGGAGGAAGGCAAGGAGGAAGAAAAAAAGTACAGGCAGAAAGCCAGTGAGGGTATGGATGTGTGTGTGAGAGGGGTTGGACATCAGTGCAAAGAATGCTGGGCTGAGAATCATAGAATCATACAATAATTTGGGTTGGAATGGACTTTTTAACACTCACTGAGTCCAACCCCACGGCATGGGGAGGGGAGTTTTAACAATGGCACCAGCTGTGCACCTGAGGGAGCTGAGTGAGACGAGTAGTGGGCAAGGGCTTGTCTCTCAGTACTGGACTGAATGTCCTTCCTCTCTGTGCAGCACCCCTCCAGCAGCAAGCTGTACTATTCTGGGGAGGGGAAGGAGTAATGGAAACTCCTATTCCTCTGATTTTAGAGGAAGCATTAAGTTGGAGTCCCTTTACAAATCATTGGCACTATCCCAACCATCTCGAATGTAGTTCATTCTGTGTGGTGTAAATCTTTCTCCAGAACAATCACAGAGTTAATAGTGCCTGGCCAAATTTCACAAGCTGTGGTGCATTCACTTATCAGAGACAAAAGACAGTACAAAAGAAATCTGCCTTGAAGCAGCAAAGTGCTTAAATGCTCAGCTAGCCAGCTTCTGTCCACCCCTGTGAAAGATTCTTGGTTGTCAGGGTCAGCAGATCTAACATATCTTTGTTCTTTACTGAAGATTTTTCCAACTCATGTCACAGCTTACCCTGTACAGATTTTCCTCCAGGCTTTTTAGCCACTAGAAAGGATGGATATTTTCTGTTTCTCCTTATAGTGCTGTAACTTACACCAGAGCTTTATAGCAGCTCTCCTTCCAGCACATGGGGTTAGTCTAGAGCACACGACATGGAAGCTCCTGTCCATCAGATCTTGTCCCATGTTGCCAGACACTACCACATCAGTTTGTTCCTTTTGGAAATGTGAAGAGCTCCGTCCTTATGGTAATTATTTTTTCTGCCCTGTTAGGACTTCTGAAAGAACTTTTCAAATAATAGATTTTCTTATGTTTAGAAATCATCCGATTTTTGGCTTAACTGCATTAACGGGCAGCCCATACCTGTTTGTTCTTGACTAAAGCGCCTGCGATGCGCTTAGCCTTGGTAAGGCAAGTTTTAACACACATTCCCACCAGGAGTCCCTGGCACAGCTTCGCTCCCGGAGATTGACACCAGCCCCCCCGAGCAAGGACTGGTGCGGAGGGACGGGGTGTTGGTACGGCCGGGGGCTCGGCACCGGGCGCGGTGCGGTGCGAGCGTGGCTGGCGGCCGGGCACACGGCACCGCGGGCTGAAGGCGCCGGGGGTGCCTCGGTGCGGGCGCTCTGGCCGCGGCGCGTCTGCGTGCCTGGGGCCGGGGCGGCGGGGCTGGCTGCAGTCGGTGCCGCTGGCACCGGTACGTCCGGCTGGTGTGGGGACGGGGCGGCGGGCCGCGCTCAGCGCGGCGGCGGAGGTGGGCAGCGAGGGCGGGAGTTGCGCGGCCGCGGGCGCTGCGGGCGGTGCGGGGCGCGGGGTGCGGCGGGCCGGGGCCGCGGGCGGTGCCGCCGCCGTGAGGGGCCGTGCGGGGCGGCGGCCGGCGGGCCGGGCCCTGACGTCAGCGGCCGGGGCGGCTGCGGCTGCGGGCGGCGCTCCCCGAAGCGGCGGTGCCTCCGCTCCTGCGCTCACTCCGCGCTGCCGCAGCCCCCAGCGCCCGCGGCTCCCTCGCCGCGCAGGTAAGGCGGGCTCCGGGGCGGGCGGCGGCTCCGGCACGGCGGGGCAGCACCCGCTCGGCTCCGGCAGCAGCCGCGGCGCGGGGCTCTGGCAGCCGGCCGCCGCTCCCTCGCTGCCTTTCCCGCCGCAACTAGTTGGGGGAGCGGCCGGGCGGTGCTGCCCGCGGTGCCGAGGATCGGCGCGGTCGGAGCGGCGGCGCGGTGCCCCGTCCCGGCTGGGAGCCGGGGCCGCTCGGAGCGGGGCGCGGGGCGGAGGCTGCCGCAGCCGGGTTTGGGGCGGGGGAGCTGCGCAGGGTGGGTGCCTCGGGGCGCTGATGTGTCCGGCTCCCCTTGCAGGCTGCTCGGGCACTTTAGAGCGAGCGAGAGGCTGAGCCGGCAGCATCCCGGGCATTTCCAGCAAGCGCCCGCCAGCAGCCCGACACCGACTGAGATTTAGACGTCTTCGGAGTGGGGAGGAAGATCCTCATCTTCCGTAGCCTCCTCAATGAGTGCCAAGCTCTCCAAAGAGTTGAGGCTGTCGCTGCCGCCTTGTCTTCTGAACAGGACATCTGCCACCTTAAATACCAGCAGCACCTGCATCACGCAAGTGGGTCAACTCTTTCAGTCCTTCTCATCCACCGTGGTTTTAATTGTCCTGGTCACCCTCATCTTCTGCCTGATCCTCCTCTCTCTCACCACCTTCCACATCCACAAGAGGAAGATGAAGAAGCGGAAAATGCAAAAGGCTCAGGAGGAGTATGAACGGGACCACTGTGCCCGCAGCAGCAGTAGCAGCAGCCAGCACCCTGGGACAGTGGTGCAGGGAGAGGCACCCCAAGGAAGAGACAGCCGACTGGGAAGACCCCCCCAGGACTCGGAGATCCAGCGCTCTTCTCCCTCGGCAGCCCCCAGCTCTCAGCAAGCACAGGCTTGTTTGGACACAGCTGGCGTGGGGCTCCTGCAGACGGTGATTTTGTCATGATGGTTTGGGGGAGACCTCGCGAACCTCTGATTAATGTTTGTAAATATCTGAGTGATTACTCTAGTCCCTGAAGAAGAAGAAAACATTGCTAATTCAGATGAATGAACAAGCCCATGATCCAAGCGCATGACAGATCACGTTGCGTTTCTCATTGACTGTGTGAGGAAAGGATGCATCTTTTTACTGGAGAAGGAGCCGCACACAGCTACTCAATATCAAGTCATCCACCTGCACGAGAGGGTCAGGGGTAGGGGGTCCCTTTTCTCTGGACATTATTACCCCAAGTACAGGGATAATTGGGTTTCCCACTGCGCTTGGGATTCCCACTGTGCCCTGTGTCATTGTTACATGGTGTGGGTTGGGGTGTGGGGGTAGAGGCAGGTCTGGTGGGTGCCTTTGGGACCCTTCTGTCAGAGCAGACTGATGGTACACTGTGGTCTCTCCTTTTGTGCTGGGATCTATGCCCCTGTCCCACCCCTCTCACTCCTTTCCAGAACTGGATATTGCTTGATATAGAAATGGCCCCCCCTAGTTGGGCTTAACTGCAAGCACCCTCCGACCCCACGGCCCTGTGCCCCCAGCTGCAGCACTGAGTGACCCACTCACAATCTGGAGGATGGAGTCAGATGTCTCCATAGAGTGGTGCCTGAGCTTTCCACTCCCATCAGCTCCCTTCATCTTGAAAAGCATCCCCTTCCCCATGCCATGACCCGTGAAACCCAAACCCTGTACTGTTCTGTGTGGGAGGGAGGGGTAAGGTGCAGTAACTTGCCTGTGCCCTCCCCAGGGGAGGTTGTCTTTGTACCTGCTGTTGGTCCTGAAACAATCCAGTTCTGCACCAGGCACCCTGCACTGAATGCCTGCGTTTACAGCTTTGTCTCCCAGCAAGGAATCCTGCAGCAGTACAGATCTTGCTTCTAGTTTTTTAGGCTGATGTGTATTTTCAACCCTCCTAATCTTGTAGACAATTAGCGACAGACAACACTTAATTTTATCCTATGTCCTCTGTTGGGAAACAAATAATGCAGTTGAAAACATCCACTCCCAGACTCTGGCAGATATTTATTTTTGAAGTGACTGCTGTGAAGTGGTGTAGTTTATCCCTAGCAATCATAGAGAGTTTTGTTGTCTCTGGCTGGCGGGTGTGAGTGGCTGCTGGTGCTGTGTGTGTTGGAGGATGCAGTGTGGTTTACAGAAAATGCATCTTTGCTTAGTGATCAAATCAATGACCATTACTTGGAGGTGCCTTAACAGCATGCCAGATCCAAACTTTGTAACATATAGTGTGATATGGTAGCAGAGGCAGCCCTCTACTGTGCATACTAACATCCAAAAATTGCAGTAGAGAAAAAGTGATCCCGAGGGATTTATTCTTTTCTTTCTTTCTGTTCCATCATTTAAAGTGATTTGAGGATATAGTAATAGCCCACAGTTTTTAATATTCTGTATTCTTTGTATTTCTCCTCTGACATGCTCTGTCTGCCAGGGTGTCTGACTGAAAAAATCCCAGACACGTAGACCAGGAGGTCTGGAGCTGTAATCTGTGGGTGAATGTCCTTAACCAGTTTAAAACTGGGAAAGAGAATGGCAAAAGTCCTCCATACTCCTATAATACCCCCAAAATGCAGAGATTTCACGGCAGTATTTCTGTCACCCAGTTTTCTTGCTTCCTGATTTTTCCTGGTGTGATGGGAAATTGCTGTTAAGTTTGGATCCGTGCCTCCATCGCTGTAGGGAAGAGCTGTACCAGGGAGCCCAAGGAGCCGCTCTGCCTGCTGAGGTTGGTGTGGAGAGCTGCCGTGTGTGCCGCTGAGCGAGGGGTGTTTACGGCTGGCTCTTGCTGATAATGGCTACTTCGTTGTTGCTGGGCAAGGAAATTGGCTTTGTTTTGTTTCCCCCTGATAAAGGATGCATGAACTTTTGTGTTTAACCTCCTTATGCAACTGCGGCACAGTATTGCACCACAGGGAATAGATTTAGGACAATGAGGAGTGTTCAGTGAGCTCTAATGGAGCTTCCTGGCCGTTGATCTCCACTAAACATAGAGGTATTACTTTCCCCTTTATTTTGTGCCTTTAAACCACCCCCCGCCCCATCCCAAACCAACAGTGTATAATTTCGAGTTTTATAAAAGCAATAAGATGTTCCAAGTCACTCCAGTGCGTTTCTGGTTGATGGTTCCACTTCTTTAGTGTCTGAAGTCAGATACTCTTCCTTCTGCCTTATGCACTCAAGGCATGCAATAATTCCCCAGAAGTGTACTGCTTGTCACATCTCATTGCAGTTATAAAATTGCCCTATTTTTGAAGAAAAAAAGAAGGATGGAGAGATAGATATATATATCTTTATATATATATTATGGATATACAGGTATATGTATTATTTATATAATCTCATGCCACTGAAAGTAGTTGCGAAAGTGTGACTAGAGTTAAAATATTATCATGTAAAACTCTATCCTTTGTTAATTAGCTTTGATTTAATATTTTAATATCTCTGTATTTATGTAAATCTGTGTAAATTATATGGTCTATTAGTAAAATTTCATACTGACTTTAATTTTTGCAGAACTGTGAGCTTCTTGTGGTGTCATCTAAGGTTTTTTATTTCTAAAGTTAAATTAGACAAGATATGAGAAGTTGTAAATTCCTATTATCACACAGAATTACTGCAATAAAGTTCATGCATATTCCCAGTACACAGCCCTATCTTGAGGTATAGCAAGCTTATGAGGTTTAATTGAACGGTCTCAGGAGATCTAGCTGATACAAGCAGGACACGTAGGTTTTCATTTTCATGAAACAATAAGCAATCTAGGGAATAGATGTGGATTTTTAAAACAGAGTTTATGCTTGGAGGTTCTGTCAAATCAATTGCTTCAAAACCCTACAGCTACAGCTAAACTTCTGCACTTAGCATTCAGTATTAATAAGGCTGATGCTTCTTTCCCCTCCTACTTAAACTAGAAAAGAGTAGAAAATTGTTCATATTTCTAAAGCATACATTTTCAGCTAAATGTGAAACTGCCCAAAGGGTTTTGAATATACATATTTTATGCAAGTGTAATATCTATGTATCTGTATCCATATATTTAAATATTTTTGTGTAACCTTTTCTACGATATTTGATAGAGATGCTGGGTAAATGCTTGTACCTTTCTCGAACACGAGGAAGGATTTTTACCCTCTCGATGCGGACGTTCTTTTTCCTGTGAATTTGCACTGGTTTCGATGAGTGACAATGACGACTGGGCAGCTGAGTGCTGACTGATGGAAGCGCAGACTGTCTTCGCTCTGTTAGGGGGCAAATCCTGCAGCTGGATTTTCCTGGTTCTGAGTTGGAGCTGGTTGGCCACTAGCATCCCGCATGTGTTAGAATAAGAAGTGCTGTGGGGCTCAATAGTTCCTGTCCAGTTCAGCTGTTGTTCCCTGGAAGAAGCACGACAGCAGTGACTCCTTTTGTAGAGCCTAGTGAGAACAGAGCTGATGAGCAACGTGATGGGACTGCATTGGATCATCAGCCATGCCTCGTGCTGCACTCCTGTCCTCAGAGCCTGCTGCTGCCTGGGATTCATCCAGCTCCCGCTGGCATCAGCAGGTGTGGCTCGTGCCAACTGCCGAGGGACTGGGATCCCATCTGGAGCCCACACGGAGGGTGACAGCTCTCCACATCACCACTGCTGACCCTGCTCTGCTCCTGAGCAGTCTCCACAGGATGGAAACCACTGCCTCCCTCGAGGGCTGGGTGCTTCAGCCCGGTGGCACCGGGGAACCTGCACTGCTCCTGTTAGCTCTGCTTCTGTGGACCGAGGCACTTCGGTTCCTACGCGGATCACGGACAGGGAATGTCATTTCATCCAAATATATCATTCCGGCATTTCTTTCTTTGGGGGTTTGTCTACTGCAAATGTAGCTTCAGATAAAATTTGCCGGGCTCTCCATCCAGACATGTTTTAACTTTTGATACATCTCTCTCAGATGTATATCTGTAAGTTTATAGATATATATCTCAAAGGAAATGCTGGACAGAAAGCAAAGAACAGAGACTTCATGTTACTGACAAAATTGTCCTATGACAAAAAAAAAGCTTTTTTTTTATTTTAAAATTTATTTTAGAGGCTGCATCTTTAATGTAAATAGCAAGTTACTCTGTGATTAATGTTTTCCATAGCATTTCTGAGTAATTGCTATCTTGTTTCTGGAAAGCCGTGTCCAGTGTTATGAAGCAACTGTGCTTTTTTTCTTCTGTTGTTATGAATATGAGTGCAACTTTAATATAGGGAGGAAAAAAGAACAGGATTTGACTCTTTATACAGGACTGAATTATTTTAAATCCAGTTATAGAATTTGGTTGCTTTTTTTCCTTTCTTGTGGTTATTCTCTCTGCACGTTCATATGTTTTCTATGGGTACTTGAAACCCTACATTTTAATAAGTATGCAAGATATGAAGGGAACCATGACAAATTATGTAGGAAATATTCTTTTTCCTCTTTCGTGTAAATAGCAAAATTTATAATGACTTAGATACTGTTTCATTACATTTCTCATCTCTGTAGAATTTGGCATGACACATATACAAACCTTTAATAGCACTTTCATTTATGTTAAAAGTTAGTACTACTTTTATCCAGGATTGACTTACTCATCTCTTTCAGGTATCCAACATTTTTTCCCCTAAGCCAAGTTTTCCATCTGATTGCAAAATAAATTTCTAGTAGAACAGAGCCTCCTTCTGTTTTTAGTCTTTTACATCTCGGTCTCTGGCCTGAATCCAGCCGAACTCATTAGTGTAGAAAATGTGTTACTATCTTACAAGAACTGGATAGTGTACGAGCCTTGTGGAGAGAGGTGACTGGCAAGCAAACAGGTGAAATGCCTGGCAATGGAAAGAGTTGGCTTTCCTGTGTAGGACTGTGGAAGGGAAGCCTCCCCTTCCACTGGATGGACCTGGGTGAAGGGCGACCTGTTCCAGCCACAGCAGAGACAAGTATCGATGTCCTTGCTGATCCTGTTGCTCTGAAATGTCATTTTCTATATGACACTAGATCTTATTTCTGTAAATTATGTGTAATGTATTTCTTATTCGAGTCAAAGAGGTTTTCATTGCTTCATCAGTACTATATGTTCTCTGTGGATAATTAGAAGAATTAATTTTCCAACCCTTTTAACCTAATACCTCTACAAGCATCAATTTTGTATGAGTTAGGAAATAAATAAATATTTGGATCAAAACCCTGTCAGTAAAGATTGTCTTTATTTATATAATCCGGTGTTCCAGTTGGCTTTTCTTTGTTGTTTTCTTCCTTGAAATGGAGCAATATAATCTGTTCATTATCTTACTTTTCTAAGAGGACAAAGACTTTAAAGCAAATACAGCAAAATACATAACATAAACAGGAAAAATTTTGACATTGTATAGCAGAATGAAATCATGTAGACTTTTTGTTGTTGTTTCACAGTAATTCTTTGACCTCTCTTTCTCATGCCACCTCCAATCAAGGAAAATTTTAATCTAAAATCTTAGAAAGAACTTCCATAAAACACATGCTTTGCTTTTATGGTTTTACCTTTCCTTACTACACAGTTCAGTGACCAAGTACAGATTAAAGCTTTTCAATCGGTATCCCAGGGGATTTTGAGTGCTGTAAACAAGGGGCCAGTATAGTAGGTTCTAAGGTGAAAATATTAACTCTATAATACAGTAAAAGCAGGAAGGGCTGTGGGGTGAATTTGGGATTCTAAAGGAGTGCCTTAATTTTGTTCCTGGCTCTGTCACTCACATTGTGAGGCTCTCGGCTTCCAAGCTCTTTATATAATAATGTAACTAATCTATTAAACAGAGTTGGAGCCTGCAAATACACAGCCCCGAAATGAATAAATTGAGCATCATCTACATAAAAGAATACTCAGAGCATAATACAAATTAGAAGAGTCTTTATGCTGTAATCACCTGGCTTGGATTGTTCAAGTGCTTACACTTGGCAGGGAGATGCAAGTGCCACGCTGCGCAGCTGGGGGACGGATGGCTGGGCAAGATGCTCCAACAGGCACACCGAGAGGCTCCATTTAATTTTGAATTTGAAGTGGAATACGTATTATGGAGGAGAGCCAAGAAAACTAGTGTTTATTTTACCATTTCATCACACATGGCACTTCTTTTCTCAGTGCAGAAAGCAGCCTTGTAGGGTTTTAAACAGAGTGCTGACTAAGGTAATAGGAATATAGGAAAAGATAATTCTTGGGAGTGAACCCATCGCTAATGGAATTCATGGCACAACCTCCTTGAATACAGTGGGGCCTCAACTACGCCCAAGAAAATACCAGATCTCAGTCCCTGCTGGCTGTCTGTCCCTTGCCAGTGTCATCAGACTCTTGACTTCTCAGTATTTCTAGGTCACATGGATTTCTCCTGTTTTTTCACTCACCATCCATACAGTGAAGGATCACATGGGATTACCTACATGTGACATGCTTTTGCTCACTTTTCTTTTGCTTTTGTTGCCTCCTGCTATCTGGCTTTCCACTCGAGAGCCTGTCTGTCTGCCCTTTCCACTAGGGATGGGCTATGTTGGCCAGCTTGTGCCTTCCTCCTAATGGGTAATCTCAGCCTATGTCTGACATTAGGAAGTTCCTCACTGTAAGTCATCAGCTGGTTTGATTTCTGCAAAGATGCTGTAGGACTTTGCTGTCATCTTGGTCCAGCTTGTCACACATTTGAATTGCCCACAGCCCAACCACTCTGCAGAAAGACACAAGTTTTTGAGAAAGTGCTAGACTTCAAAACAGCCTGAGAAATACCAGCACAATTCCCAGCATAGTCTACTGGCATTGGAACAGCATCACATTTCCTGATTAAGCTGCCAACTCAATACCAAAGGCTGGAACTGCTGAGAAATCATCATCCTTTTATATCTATAATTTCTATCTTTCTATCATTTACAGGAACACTACTGTAAGGAAAAGCATCAGTTACTGTAGAAAGGAGACAAAATAACGGAGAGGATATGATTATGAGTATTATTATACAGAGCATATGTAAAACCTGTGAGACAGACAAGATCAACTGAATGTCTAATAATGGCTAGCCACTCAGTCCACATTTTCTTCTTTTAAATAAGATTATCACAATCCATCCTATTATATGTGGTCTTGAATGCTTTTAGATACATCCTTTTACTTTGCTGCTGTCAGTGAGCCTGTACTTGTTTATGAACTCCAGTTAAACCCTTTAAAGTCTATTTGTTTTCATTACAGAAATAGAGTTTTTATTAAATCCTCCTTTGAACAGGCCTCAGCAGTAGCATAGGGGAGCCTTCACTTCCAGCACACTTCTCTGAGCTTGTTCAATCTGATAAACATGTTGTATAAAGGAGGACAACAGATGATCATAGGGGCTCACTGCAAAAATCTGTAAACCATGATTGCACCCAAACTGAAGGCAAGATACCTATTAAATCCTCAGATGGCCACGACTTTTTACCTGTCTACAATGAAGCAAACATCTCAGCTCGAGTTATTTCAGATTTATGTACTGCTGCAGGAGCTGAGCTGACTATAAG